CAGGGCTGTAGCTGCGTGTGAGGGCGGGCGGCAGAGCATCAGGGCGTGGGGTCGCCCGCGCTGGGAGCGCCTGCCTTGGCTGCGGCCACGGGGGCTGAAGAGGGTGCCGCTCCGCCGTGCCGCTCCGGCGCGGTCGTTAATGCCGCTTGTGACGTCGTTTCTGTTCCACGGGGCCGTTGATGTTAGCGTTTAGAAGCTACTTGTAATTTGCAGACATGAAACGGCTATGTGCTCTTCTCGGGATTTCTTTAAAATTCGTGCCTGAACTTGTTGATTTGCTGCTGGCAGGGGCTTGTTCCTTGTGCGCTGGAACACTTTTATTTTGCATAGTATCCGTGGTAGCAAATGCCTGAAGGCTGCCCTGGAAGCTCACTGCTGCTGGCTTGTAGGGTCTGAGCTGGCTGTGTGAGCAGATACTGCCTACTTTGAATAGGAGAAGAATCCCTCTTTATAAATGAAATGCAGTGGGATTTTTAGTGTACGTGCAGAGCAACTGAGAATGGTGAGGTGACTCCAGTAGTCAATATATGTGGTGGACGTGATGCCTACGTAGTGTTGTTCAGAACAAAGCCCCCTTTTCTCCTCTTATAATACCCTTCACCTTTTCCTTTCTCTAGAGCGAGGCAGAAGTGAATCCCAAAGCTTACCCCCTGGCTGATGCACAGCTCACCAAAACGCTACTGGATCTTGTGCAGCAATCCTGCAACTATAAGCAGCTACGCAAGGGAGCCAATGAAGGTGAGACCTGTGTGTTGCAAAGTGTGCGAGAAATCATAGCAAGGATTTTGTGAGAAGCTGTGGCTAGAGATTGTCTCTTCTCTCTAGCGGTGGGCCACTAACATTACATAGGTCTGAGAGTGTCCCTCTCCTCCCTCCTCCTTCTAGCCTGCTTAAGCAACATTCGGGGCCAGAACTAAGCTATAATCTCTTCAGCATTTATATATAGTTCTGGTAGATGCCCAAATTGTGCTCCTGGTTTAGTGGTGTGGCACTGAGATTACCAGATGCCTAGCCAGTTTAGAATCATAAAAAGATTCAGGTTTGAGGAGACCTCTGGAGGTCCCTAGCGCAACCTGCTCAGAGAGTGGCTCCTGTCACAGTTGGATCAGGTTGCTTGGGGCTTTGCCTAGTCAAACTTTAAAAAAAAAAAAAACCAAACAATCCCTAAGGATAGAAACTCCACAGTCTCTTAGGACCCATGTTCCATGGCTTAAACACCTCTCATCGGGGGGGAGGGATGTAAAATTCCAGCATGTCCCCAGAATCTCCCTGAGGCAACAGTCACAGTCTGCAACCCGTCCTTTTTCCTGTGCACTCACGAGGACAGTCTGGCTCCATCTTCTCTGCAATCCCCTTGAAGCAGTAAAAGACAGTGGCCGCATCCCCCTCTCTCCCACCTCAGCCCTCTCTTCCCCAGCCTAAACAAACCCAGCTCCCTCAGTCTCCCCTCATCTGTGGTGCGTCCCAGCCCCCTACCCGTCAGCAGCCCTGGGCTGGCCTCGCTCCTTTGTGAAGGGAGCTCCGCCGTGCTCGAAGGCAACGCTGGGCACAGTACCCCAGCTGCGACCCTGTGAATAACCCCCTCCCTGGCCCTATAGCTGCCACTTTTCCTTCGGCCTGTCCTCGTGCTACCACTAGATCCCCCTCTTGCTCATGCCAATTTCAACATCTCCTAATGTTGTTTTTCGTTAGATGTGCTTTCCAGAAGGACCTAGACTTACTCTTCAGCTTCTTTTGCAGCCACCAAAACACTGAACCGAGGGATAGCGGAGTTCATTGTGATGGCGGCGGATGCGGAGCCCTTGGAGATCATCCTGCACCTCCCTCTTCTCTGCGAGGACAAGAATGTACCTTACGTGTTTGTGCGCTCCAAGCAAGCCCTGGGCCGGGCATGTGGTGTTTCCCGGCCTGTCATCGCCTGCTCCATCACCATCAAGGAGGGATCACAGCTAAAGCCTCAGATCCAGTCTGTCCAGCAAGCTATAGAAAGACTGTTGGTCTAAATGCCCATGAGTTTAAGTGTGTGTGGAATCGGAAAGTTGAAGTCAGGGGGCATTAATGTCGAGCTTCAGTTGAGACTATAGTTTTGATATCAGTGTTTCATTTCAAAACACCATATTTTTGTTTAATAATGGTTTAATTCTTAGTGTTTCTGCCTCTCCTCCCCCGTCTTCTCTATTATTCCACTCCAACACATTTAATTTTCATTGTATTACTTCTTGAAAAGTGATTGTACAACTGCATTTCCTGTTTGATGTTTAAAAGGAAGGGAAAAGAAAAAATCCCCCCTTATCTCTGCATCTGCCTGCTCAGGGGCTTTTTTTAACCCACCCAGTAGCTTACTCTGCATCGCAGTATTTCTGTTAAGCTTCAGCCTCTAACAGGTGTGAGTCACTGTGTTTCTGAATGGCTTAGTCTACTGAGGATAAGGCAAGTTGGTTTCCCGCAGAGCGTGTGCGTGCAGACTGCTGGAGTTCTTGCTTGGAGTGATGGAGCAGCGTAGACCACGTATAAGGCAGGCAGCGGATGGAGCCAAGATCAGTACACATAGCACAACCCTTTTTCTTCTTGAAACCAGACAAGAGACTCCTCTAAGAGGTGTATGGGGAGCAGAAATCTTATGGCAGTGCACGAGGGGAAATCTCTTATTTCGCTTGTTTTTAAATACTGACTTTTTAAGAAAAATAAAATCGCTGACAAAGCTAAACATAATTGTCATTCCCTTGGGGAAGCATTTGCAACTAACTGAAGTGTTCCTACTTGTAAAGCTAAACTGCTCAGAGACTGCCTAAAGGCTATTGCAGTGTAGTCATTCATACTCCTTCAGTTTTCTTTGCGTGGACTGTATCGATGAGCTCGGGCTTCCTAGGGTATTTAAGTACAAAACACGCAGTAGAGAGCAGCCTGCTGTGGCTGACGAGTACCCTACATAGCCCATGCTTTTAGGGAAGCTGCTGTACTGTAGTCACCTGACTAAAGATAAACCCTTTAAGTAATAGCCAAGGCAACAGAGAGCAAGTAATTTTTCAGATAAAACAGTTTGTGTCTTGAGAATGTTAGATAATCTCATGTTCTGGAAAAGCGTGAAGCACCACCAGCATTCTGGATTAATGGTGGTTTTATGGAGCTAGCTTTAGTTAAATGCATATTGTGTAACAAATCCACTTACTGCGCCGAGCAGAAGAGTCTAAACCTCGATGGGTCATATCAAACCTGTCTTCTACTGCAGGATGCCAAAGCAAAGCTAGCGTGGAAAGACCAATAGGTGCAACAGCAGAAGGGAAAATAAGTTCTCCTATAATGTTTCTACAGAGGCACTAACTTCACTCCTTTAGTAAGTACGTCCCAAGCAGATGAAAGCAGCTCACGAAAGACTGAAGACAAATCATACTATATTTTTGTAAACAGCTGGTAACTAATATCCTTGCTGAGGTGAACTTAATACAACGATTTTAGAGTCCTTCCATTTGTATGAAGTTTAGAAATGTTGCTGTTCCCTTCTACTGATGCTGACTGTTGAGCTAGTTGTGTTTAAAACCACAGCCAAAGGACTTGGCCTGTTGTACCATGCCAAGACAGCTGATGTAAGACCAAGCACATAAGGAGCAGAAATAAAGGATTCTTGAGCACACAGACCTGTCTTAATTTTCTGCTCCGAAGCCTTCCATCACCATCCCTGTTGAACTTCTGCTTAATGCAATAGCCTGCTTTAAAAAAAAAAAAAAAAGCCAGGAGGAATATCTAATAACCTAGACAAAACATGCCATAATCATCCAAAGCCTGGAACATGCTGTGCCTGGGGGTTAGCAAGCCAAGAGAGATGTTAACAAGGGCATTTGGGGAATGAAAATTCACAGAATTCAGGACAGGACAGTCTCGCTATTTTATTGCGTTCAATTCAAGCGTCGCTAAGACGAGCATTTACAGTAACTTCTTTGCCGAAGGGCAGAATAAATTGACTGCTTAGACAAATCTTTACTAAAAATAACTACTATAATGCTGGCTGATTGAAAGTGTAATAGACTACGTAGCTTCAATCCTGCAGAGCTCAACATGGGCTAGCTGCTCTTCTGAGAGGGGCTGTGGAGGTGGAAGTGAGCAGCTTGCTGGCACAGCTAGGGTGGTCACGGTGCCAAGAGCGTTCACAGCTGGCTCCGATACGTGTGCCACACTACAGCATGGGCACAACCGACCTTAATATATGACTTAATTCTTCGATAAGTTGCCCAATAGTTTGTGCGCCAAACACAAGAATCCCAAAAAACACCACACAGACCAAAATGGATACCTCATGTATCCCATGTTTACATCCCATAGAAAGTTACAGTTAGCTAAACAATTAGTACTGTTTTCTAGAGCAAGGGCAATGACTGTTGGGTTTAATCATCTTGCACTGCAAGACAAGTGCAGCATGCCACATGTGAAAGTTTAAAAACCAAAACGTAGACAGGCCCAGATGCAGCCTCCATACGTACGATTAAAAAAATAAAAATACTGGAAGTAACAAGGGCTACTCTCCACAACTTGCTATTTTTTTATTTTTAAAGCACAGATTTGAGTACAGAAGCCTGCACAATAGTCTGACTCATACTCGCTACAGAGATGGAAAAGCTCTATACCATCTCAGTAATTTAATTGGGTAAGTGCTTGCAGCCTTCCAGAGAACATGGCTTCCCCCCCCCCCCCTTTTGAAAACCAGCTTTTGCTATTACCATTTAAAAATGGAAGACCTGGCTGTGCAGCTTTGTGAAGTGCTGGCTTTTTGCCCAAAGGATTGGCTACTGCTTCCCAGTAATGATTTTCTCCTTTATGATCTGCTGGCAATCTTTGTAACGTCAATGATGGAAAAGAACCCAATTTGATTACAAGTACCGATACAGACTGGCTGTTTTGGAGATTAGGAGAGTAATACACCACGTTTATACCCTGTTAGCACACAGACTTGACCTGCTGCTTGAACTCATGCGGTGCCATTAACACAGATCATTCTGTTTTCTTACTCGCATTGAAGTGAGTTTTGCTGTCTTTATGATGCAAAGATGGTATAACCAGTGTTGCAAATTAAGAAGTCCAAAATAACTTTTATTAAGAAACCAGGAAGGCACAACTGTGTTTACTTGCAGTGGGTGACCTGAGTTAGCAGGGAATTTAATTCTGCCTTTGGCTACTGTGAAGAGAATCCAACTTTGCAGAGATGTTTCACAACTAAAAGTAAAAAGTTTCTCCGCTGCTAGGTTCAGCAACACTTAGTCGCCTTCTCCTCCACAGCAAGATTAAACAGACACAGCATCCACATAAGACAACCAAAACTTTAAGCAGACGGAAGTCAACCAGGGCCTTCTGCTCCTGCTTAGTGCTCACCGAAGTATTCAGTTAGCGCGTCCATGAGCTCCTGCTTCTTCCCCCCACCCTTCAGCCCATAAAGCCTGCATGCATCCTTCAGAACAGGTACAGTGAGCTTGCCTAGAGTGCCCTTCTGCACATGACTCCACAGCTCATCTTTTGAGATTTCTACCTTGGGCCTCTTCTCGGTTTGACCATCAGAAGCTAGAAAGATAAATTTTAGATCACCAAGATTTTAAAAAGTTTCTTAATAGAAAGACATCAACGTTTCTTATACATACCACAGTTAATGGCCATTAGCACATGGTCCTTTAACACCTACCTACACACTCACAGACCTAGTTTCCGTATTTTGTTTTATGAAGGAGGTGTCACTCACTCTATAGTGAGTCATATAGTATATTTCATTGATATGAGTGATCTCAAACTCAAGTATGAAACTTTGTGTTCTGATGGAAAGATCACCCCCAAATGAAACTTTTAAGGTATTCTCATCTAGACAGGAGAATGCAACTATTCCACAGGGAGTTCAGCTAACTGATACTCCCACTTCATGCAGAGTTTCATAGACTCCCAAACTACACATGTACTTCAGCATTACTTAGACATTTAGCCCTAAAGATGCCTATCTTGGACTTGCTAAACAGCCCATGCATAAAAGTCTGCTTCCTCACCCAGAACACAAACTGAAAGCGTGAACAATTTCACTACTCTGTTGTAAAAAAAACGAAGTTATTAATAATGATGATAAAAATAAATAAATATGTATTTTACAGTAATTTACCCACATTGCTTCCTATACTTCCCTGTTTTTTCACTATGCAGTTTCTCATTCCAGCAGGTCCCTAGCTGGGTACCACAATATGCTCTCCTTTCTAAGAATCACCGCTGGATATAAGTCCACTTTGTTATGGAAATGAGTAAAGAGTTATTGCACAAGCAGCTTCTTTAAACTGTGAGACAAACTGAAAACGCAGAAGCCTGTCAACAAAGAACACAGACACCATGTTGCATGTCTGCACCGTCATTACTCACCTTGTTTTCGCTTTACAGCCTTTGCATCAGGACTGTAGTCAGGGGGATAAACCAGCTGCTTGAACTCCTCCACCAGGTTGCCCAGCCTGCGGTTCATCTCTTCAGCCTTCGGCACTGGCAAAAGAGAAAGATTTGCCCTCTCAAAAACAGAGTGATCACAGGAAAGTGTAAACGAGGTCATCACCAGATACAGTTGTGCTTCTGTAATAACTAGCATGCAAGTGTTTTGCAAGCATGCAAAATGCAAAGACCTATGTTATGATATTCACAAATGAGAAATTTACAGCTCTTGGTAATATCAAGAGTTTGTATTATACATATGTAATGGACTCTCACATATCCCTGAACAGGAAATATATACGCAGAAAAAAACTGACACGGTGGAAGCGATACAGAAGATCTCCAGCCTGGTTGAACTGTTACCCAGGTCTAATCTCAGACATTTAAAATACAACAGGTTACCATCTAAGGTTGCGAGTAGTTTGAGGCAGAACAGCTTGTTTCTGTCATGTATTTGTATGGTATCTAGCACAGGGACCTAGATTATTTCTTAGGTATCACTTCAGAAGAGACAAATAGTTATGCTAATGCTATTCCTGGAGTACACCATAATTTTAAAAAAGGAACTTCCCCTTCAGGAGTAAGTTTCTACCGTCTGACAAGATATTCTTATGTAGAAACTCTCACAGCCACAAGGTGGCATCATTGCCTCCTAACAGAGTAATTCTCTAAGCGATTCTGCCCATTTATCAGACTGAAATATTAATTAGATTCTTGAAGAGAAGAATTTCAGAGAAAACATTTGTCACCATAGGAAAAAAGGTGATTCAATTTTAATTTTGGAAGAGGAAAAAACGATCACTTTACCTATCTTAAAAGT